AACGTAGTACTCCAGATTCCAACACTTGTACACATTAAAATGACAGGAAAAATAAAGGCATACTAAGAAAATTAAATCATCGACCCCGCGTGGTCTGTCATCAATTGCAGACATGATTTGCCCACTAGAATAAACAAATGCACATTTACATAGTAATTATTGTCGGGGGAGTTTTTAATATTCGGGAGCACTCCACGTAATGGGTAGTGAGTAAGTCACATAAGTGAGTTTGACACTATAACATATTTTAAAACTTTAAGGTAATAGGATCTTTCTCACTTATATATTACTCAACATGTCAAACTCTAATTAATATGGGATTTCACTTCACACTTGAACTAAGATATATATCCTAGTTCAAGTGTGAAGTAAAATCTCACATTAATTAGAGTTGGACATATTGAGTAATATATAAGTGAGAAATACTCACCTACCTATTATCTTAAAGTTTTAGGATATGTTGTTGTGTCAAACTTACTTATGTAACTTACTCATTACCCACAGTATGAAGTGCTTCCCATCATTAAAAACTCTCCCAACAATTATGAGATATTGATTAAAGTGAAGGTATTCCAGTAGTGTTTTAGCAATTTATTTACTAGTTCTTTCATTTCAAGAGCATTTGGTTTATATTTCATTTGTATTGCCGTTGCACTAAACTTTTGTAGCAGCTATGATTATACTCACAACATAATGTCCTGTAACTTTATTTGTTATTTATTTTCATTTATATATATAAATCTCATAAAATATACCTCAAAATCAAGAGGACACCTTTTCTGTTGTAACAAATATTGTGTTAAGACTTAAGAGAACACTTCCGTTTTGTTCCGGGTTCCGTCCATTCTTTTCGCTTTTGTTGTTGGTTCTCTTTTTTTGTTATTGGAATTTTTTCTTTCCCCATTCGTTTAGGAGAAGAAAATTGACATTGTATATGGTATATTTTCACTGATCCGATACATATAGAGAATGAATTCTTTTTTGCGTGGTAACATGAGATGTACCTGCTCAAGGATACACTCGTAGTCTTCTTGGTAAGAAGGGCCGAACGGATACTTCAAACGGATTCTTCAGAGGGGGGAGGTACCTGCAAAAGGCACCCCGACGCTCAAGTCAGGACAAGCACGATATTCTAGAATAATTAATGAACAGTGACGTACCTCGTTGCGTGTGACCTATTTATAATACCTGACATGGGCCTGAACGTGGTGGGCCTATTCTAATATTTACCAAATTAGGTAATACGATGCTAATCAGCTAATCATGTCTTAATTAGGCATTTGTCCTTGTTAACTATGATTTGTACTATAACTTGTTTAACCTATCGGCACATTGCCGAGCCGACAGGCTAATGCTTGGGAGGTTGCATGTCTTCGACTGTTGACCGGGCCGGTAAACGTTTACTTGGTAATCTTATCGGATCGGCATTTGGCCGAGCCGATACGTAGGATGCGGGGATGCATCATGCTGTTTGCATCGGCCTTCAGCTGGGCCGATGCTAACGTCAGCCTTGGGTATGGTCCAGTTTGCATGGGTGTCTGACGGAACGGCACGTGTTGGTCAACATGACCGATAGGGTCCTCCCGGTACACAAGCCCCCTAGCCTTGAGGAGTGAAGCAACGTAAAGGATAAATGTAAAGGGAAATAGGGTACTTTGGCTGCTGTTTTGGAGGGAAGGCCAAGGGTTACAATCATTGGTGGGAAACGAAGGGTTGTAACCGTTGGGCATCGAAATGATCCAACAGTGCACAGGAGGGCGTCTCTTCAGATACTTACGAGAAACTCCTATAAATAGGTGTATGGGGGGTGGTCCCCAAAGACACTTAACAGTTACTCTGAGCCGAGATCGTCTGCATTTGAGCATTCCACAGAAGCATTTCACAAAATGTTTTTCTTCTTGGTTTCACATAAAAACATTCCAAGAAGATCACAAAGACTTCACAAAATCAATTGTTTACTCTCTTCTATTCTTTGTACTTGTTTCAAAAATGTGAAAACTATTTATAAAGTTTTCCAAACCCAGATAATTGATTATTTTTAAGGATAATCGATTATTTTGTTCTTCATGAATTTTGGAAACCACTCAAGAACAGAATAATCGATTATTTCGCAGATAATTGATTACTACAGCAAGGTTCTCTCAACCTCTTGCTGGAATAATCAATTATAGTTAGTAATAATTAATTATTTTGAGTTAGTTTTCAAAAATTCAATTTAACACTTCAAAAACTTTTCAAGTTACTTTTAAACATCATCCTACTCACTCTTAGACAATTTGGACTAAGATTAACTCATGGAGAGGCTTGTCAAAGAATACTCACTACAAGCCAGAAGTGGCTAATTAAAGAATACTAGCGCTGGTGGTGAAGCTAGCGGGCCAGGAGTTGGTCGATAATACTCACTGAGAGCTAGAAGTGGTTAAACCACTAGTACAAAAACTGGATTTAAAATCAGTTTTAAGATCGGTTACAAGGTAACTGATCTTAAAAGTGACGCGGTGACAATTTGGTAAATAACATGAACACTTTTAAGATCAGTTAAAATTTAACCGATCTTAAAATTACTTTTAAGATCGATTATTTTATGACCGATCTTAAAAGGTATGTCTGACACAACTTTTAAGATCGATTACAAAAGAGCCGATCTTAAAAGTTGTATCAGACATAACTTTTAAGATCAAGCCTCTCCAGGATTTTACAAGTATTATTTCCCTAGCCTCTTCAGGCTTTACAAATGATAAATATATGATTTGGTTTGAGTGTTTGGGTTACTCTCATAGAGAGGATACATATTTTTGTATACTCACTAAGGTATGCACCCTTAGTCTTACAAGGATTGAGTGTGGTTTAGTCTCATAGAGAGGATACAAAGATTTCTACACTCACTAAGGTTCATGTTCCTAAGTTACACTTGGAACTCCTTAGTCTACAGAGATAAATACACTATGGTACATTTGACTCTACATGCGTTATCTCTGGTTTCGTTGCTTCATGGGCTTGATATCACTCCTTTTTAATGCCAAAAGCCAACCTCTCAAGGTTTGAAGTGATGATCTATATATAGTCTTGTAGAATTTTCCCGTTGCAAGTGTCCATTGAAGCAGATTTAGTCGTTTATCACTAGTTTGATCTTTTATTTAATGCTCAAGATCTTGCATTAAATGTTGCTTCCTGTTTATAGATATTGTGTGAAGTCTTCTTTGCCTTGTTAGCAACTATGTCTGAGTTTAGCAGAGACTTAGGAACCTTTTTGTCCTTTTCCGGTTGCGTAGCTGTAGGGAGTTGTCCTTATCTGAAAAAGTAATGTACTTTTTCTAACACATGCATGCTTTTGCTTTTTGTGTGCTTTTCTTCTTCTTCTTCTTCTTCTTCTTTTCTTTTAATCACGCGATCATGTTGAGAGCTTTCGTATGATCGTAGACGATGCCTGAGTAGTCCTTTGAGACTTGATTCTTTAAGTGCTTGCATGGCAGTCTTCATCTGCGCCTGTCAATCCTATGCATCTCAATTTGTGATCTTCGTCTGAGCATTTGACATTGATGCTTTGACTTTCTTTCGGTCTGGTCAACATTGTATATGGAAAGACATTGTTTCCATCTGGAACACTTTTTAGTCTGTGTTGTTTTTTGTCTAATGCATAGTTGACTTTCTTCTGATATTTGACCAACCTTCGTCTGAGTTTTCATGCTGCACTTTAGGTTGTGCTTGACATACCTACGTATGATTGACCATTGGCTTCATATGATGTTTGCATGGTTTTTTGTCTATAGTCTTGTTTTGGCCTTTCAGTCTGATGTCTTCTTTTTTTCTATAGTCTTGTTTTGGCCTTTCATTCTGATGTCTTCTTTTGTAGTTTATGAAGTGGCTCATGTTCTATTTTTCTCAACTTGCTTGTACTTATGTTGTTTTGAAACACTAACACACTTGTTAGAAATAACAACATGTATTATATTTGTCTCATTCAAAACCTTGATGAGAATTGTTTCGTCTGACTTAAAATTTAAAACTGTGCAAGGTTGGCTCAACAAAAGTTTTTTGCGTCTAAGAGTTTATCGTCTGAAAAAAAATGTTTCTTAAACTAAAAAGTTAAGCAGGTGTATTTTTTGTTTAAAGATAGTTGCAGTAAGAAATGAGTAGCAGACGAAATTTTTAGTAAGATATATCAGCTAAAAAATATTGCGTCTAAGAATTAGATAAAGAGTGCAAAGAGTTTTATACTGGTTCGCTCGACCTGAGCTAAACCCAGATAATTGATTATTTTTAAGGATAATCGATTATTTTGTTCTTCATGAATTTTGGAAACCACTCAAGAACAGAATAATCGATTATTTCGCAGATAATTGATTACTACAGCAAGGTTAATCTCGAAGTTTCTTCGTGTTTGGCGAGCCGATAGTGCTCTTTTAATTTTTTGCTTTTTGTATAGGTGGGCCGATAGTGCCCTTTGGTGTTTTTCCCGGCCGTTAGTGCCGTAATGAATTTGGGTTTTTGATTATTGCTTAGTTGTACTTGCTTTGCCCCGCATATTAAAATTTTGTAACAAGTTTGAACTTTAATAGCAGTGACGTCCTTGGCCGAGAGGCATCTCGGGAGGGAAGACATTTTAATAAGCCACGTCCTTGGCCGAGAGACGTCTCGGGAGGGAAGACTTGTAATTTTAATAGAAGCCACATCCTTGGCCGAGAGACATCTCGGGAGGGAAGACTTGTAAATTTAATAGAAGTCACATCCTTGGCCGAGAGACATCTCGGGAGGGAAGACTTGTAAATTTAATAGAAGTCACATCCTTGGCCGAGAGACATCTCGGGAGGGAAGACTTGTAAATTTAATAGAAGTCACACCTGATGATTGCAAATTTGGCATATATTCATTGAATTGATGCCTCGTTAAAAATCTTGCCGACCAAAAACCACTTTTCACAATCTTATAAGGGGAAAAAAGATCGGTTCAAGGAAAAGAGTGCACCGTTTTACACATTATAAAGTAGATACAAGCTTGGTTTAACTATAATATGTCTTCAGATGTGTGGAATTCCAAGTCCTCGGAATGACCTTGCCCGATAGTTCTTCCAACTTGTACGCCCCATTGTTAAGTGCATGCCGTATGCGAAACGGTCCGTCCCAATTAGCTGAGAACTTGCCCTCGGAAGTATTGCGCCTGGCCGACCCGGTTGCTCGCCATACCAGATCGCCTTCCTGAAATGTTCTTGGCTTTAGATTAGAATTAAAGCGTCTACTCATGCGTTGCTTGCAGGCCTCGGCTACAATTTGTGCCCTTTCGCGCACTTCATCAAGGACATCGAGTTCGGCTCGGAGTGAATCATCGTTAGATTCTTCATGGAAGTGTTGTCTTCGAAACGAAGGTTCCCCGACTTCAACCGGAATCATTGCATCTGCGCCGTATGTTAGTCGAAAGGGTGTCTCCTTGGTTGTTGATTGTGGTGTACACCGGTATGCCCAAAGAACTTCCGGTAACTCTTCAGCCCATGCACCTTTAGCCGAACCAAGTCGTTTCTTGAGCTCTATGAGGATAACTTTGTTCGCTGCTTCGGCCTGGCCGTTTGATTGGGGATGCTCGACTGATGTGAACCGGTGACGAATACCGAGATTTTCAAGGAAGGTGTTGAACTTCTTGTCAGTAAATTGAAGGCCGTTGTCCGAGACGATGGCATAGGGAATGTCGAAGCGGGTAACCAGATTTTTCCAAACAAACTTCTGGACACTCGCTGCGGAAATGCAAGCGAGTGGTTCGGCTTCTATCCATTTTGTAAAATAATCTACTGCAACCAGGAGAAACTTAACTTGCCCTTTTGCCATAGGGAATGGTCCAAGCACATCGATACCCCATAAAGCGAACGGCCATGGAGAACTGATGCTATGCAGTTCGGCAGCCGAGGCATGGATGAGATTCCCATGTCTTTGACATTGAACGCACTTTTTGACAAACTCGGCGCAGTCTCCCTTTAGAGTTGGCCAATAATAACCGGCTTGCAATACTTTAGCCGCCAGGGTTCGCCCCCCCGAGTGAGATCCGCAAATGCCTTCGTGAATTTCCCGTATCACATAATCGGCTTTTAGGTTGTCAATGCACCTTAGGAGTGGGGGGGAGAATCCCCGCCGATAGAGCACTTCGGCTACCATGGAGTACCGCACCGCTTGAGTTCGTAATTTCTTGGCTTCCATCGGATCGGCTGGTAATTCGTCTCGGACAATAAAATTTCGAATGGCGGTCATCCAGGTCGGCGCTTCGACTTCGGTTGACATGCACTCGGCCGTTACACTCGGGGAGGGAATCTCTAGGTGAATGGTTGTGCGCAACTGTCCGGGCTTCCGGCTGCTGGCGAGCCGGGCTAACTGATCAGCTCGTTCATTGTTACATCGTGGGACGTGCCGTACCTGAACCTCAATGAACTCGTCCCTGTGCTTTTGGAAGAGGTGGTAGTATTGCAACAAGTTAGGATCCTTGACCTGGAAGTTGTCGTTGACCTGTTCGGTCACAATCTTCGAGTCAGTCCAACATATGACTTTTTTCACACCCATCTCGGTTGCCAACCGCATTCCCGCTAGCAAGGCTTCATACTCCGCTTGATTATTAGAGGCTCGGAAGCCGAAACGCAGAGATTGCTCTACAGTGATGCCCGAGGGACTAGCTAGAATTATACCTGCCCCACTTCCTTGAGCGTTAGAGGACCCATCAACATGCATGGTCCATGACTCGTCTTTGAAACGGCCCGAAGGAGTGAGCTCGTTGATGAAGTCGGCTAAATGTTGTGACTTAATGGGGCCTCTCGGCTCAAAAGTTACGTCAAACTCTGAGAGCTCAACTGACCATGCCATCATCCGGCCGGAAATCTCAGGTTTCCTCAAGACTTTGGCAATTGGACAGTCGGTTCGGACAATTATCTTGTGGCTTTGGAAGTACTGCCTGAGTCGGCGGGCGGTGTAGATGAGCCCTAAGGCTACTTTTTCTATCAGCTGGTAGCGTCGTTCGGCATCTTGCAAAGTACGACTGATGAAATACACCAGCTGTTGTTCGCCTTGTTTTTCCTGAATCAGGACGACACTGATTGATGTGTTAGAAACGGCTAAATACACAATCATGTCGACGTCGGCGACTGGTTTGGAAAGGATTGGAGGTGCGCCCAGGTGCTCCTTGAACTGTTGGAACGATGCCTCACACTCCGGGGTCCATTTGAACCGTTCAGCTTTCTTCAGTAGAAGAAGGATAGGCCTAGCTATCTCGGCCAGGCAAGGAAGGAACCGAGAGAGGGAGGTGAGTCGGCCTGCTAACTTTTGAACCTCCTTCAGAGTACTTGGACTTTTCATGTCTAGGATGGCCTGACACTTGTCAGGATTTGCCTCAATGCCTCGGCTGGACAGCATGAATCCTAAAAATTTACCGCCCGAGACTCCGAACACACATTTCTCGGGGTTGAGTCTCATTTGGTGATGTCGAAGCGCCTGAAATACCTCAGTCAAATCTTGTGCATGTGTCGACACTGTACTTGACTTCACCACCATGTCATCAACGTACACCTCCATGCTTCGGCCAATTTGATCATGAAAAATTTTATTCATTAATCGCTGATATGTGGCTCCGGCGTTTTTTAAGCCGAACGACATTACCCGGTAGCAGTAGTTTGCCGTTTCAGTAATGAACGTTGTCTTCTCTTCGTCTTGAGGGTGCATACGGATCTGATTATATCCTGAGTATGCATCAAGGAAGGATAAAAATCTGTGGCCGGATGCCCCATCTACAAGTCGGTCAATGTTGGGCAATGGATATGCATCCTTAGGGCATGCCTTGTTCAAGTTGGTGTAGTCGGTGCACATGCGCCATTTCCCGTTCGGTTTCTTGACCATGACTACATTGGCCAACCATGTTGTGTAATGTACTTCTCGGATGAACCGAGCATCTAATAGCTTTCCCACCTTAGTTTCGATCGCCGCTTTCCTTTCCTCTCCGGCCTTCCGACGCCGTTGAGCGATCGGTCTTGCCTGCTTGCTTACTGATAACTTGTGGCAAATAAAGTTGGGGTCGATGCCGGGCATATCAGACGGATACCAGGCGAATAAGTCACTGTTTTCAAGGACCACTTGTTTAAGGGCTAGGGACTCTTGTTCGGATAAATTGGTCCCGAAGTAGGTGACTTGAGTTCCGGACACCCCCACCTGGATGGGTTGCTTGTCTTCAATAGGCTCGACCCTCTCTTCTTGATCAATCCGGGGGTCGAGGTCTAAGGCCGACTGCTGTGATACCGAATGTACCCCTGTTTTCTTTGTTGCTTCGGGCTTCATTTTCGGTAATCGTAAACTAGCAAAGTAGCATTCTCGTGCGGTTTTTTGATCAGCGTGAACCGTGATTACTCGTCCTGAGTCAGCCAGGAACTTCATAGCCAGGTGCGGAGTGGAGACGATTGCACCGAGCCGATTTAAGGACGGTCGACCGAGCAAAATGTTATAGGACGTGTTGGCATGAACCACCACATATTTGAACGAAACGTCTCTGTATTCGGTTCCTTCATCGTAGGGAATTAATTCGGCTTCTGGGATACCCAATTGTTTGAACGTGTTCCAATAAAGGATATCAGCAGAGCTCCCTTGATCTACCAATGTATTGCGCACAATGCAGTTGTGAATTTCAACGCTAATTACCATAGGATCATCCTGGTATGGGTCGATACCTTTGAAGTCGGCCTCGGTGAAAGTTATGGTGGGTAGGCGGCGACGAACAGTTTCGACGGCATGCACATGCCGAACGGCCCGTAAGTGTCTACGCTGCGCGGACGAAGACGATCCGCCGCCAGCGAAGCCGCCGGCAATGGTGTTGATGACCCGGCGAGGCTGCGTTGAAGGCTCTTCTCGCCTTTCTCTAGACCGCTTGCGTTCTCGATACGAACGACTTTCTGTTCTTTGTTCACCCCGATCGTCCCGTCGCGATCGGTGGGTGTTTCGGGATGAGTTCGAATGGTCGACGAAACCTTGCAAATGTCCTTGTTTGATCAGATCTTCTATCTTATCCTTCAAGGCCGCACATTCTTCTGTTGAATGTCCTCGATTACGGTGATATCTGCAGGACTTCGTTGTATCGGCCCTAGGAGGGGTCGAAGCTCGTTTCGGAACGGCCAGGACCTCCGAGGTCAACGCTTGCTCTAGCACTGCCGACCGACTGGTATTGAGCGGGGTGTATTGTGAATACCTTGGGCCGCGAGGGGGCCTCTCGCGGGATGCTAATTCTTTCGGACGGCTCCGAAAATTGTTTTCAGTCGGCTTTTCCGACTTAGCGGCTGTCTCCGTTCTGGCTTGATTGTGGAACTCTGCTAATTCTTCCATTTGCATGTATTTATCGGCTCGTCGCCGCAAGTCATCCATATCGGTTGGTGGTTTTTTGCAGATGCTGTTGGCAAAGGGACCCGGTTTTAGAGCGGTTGTGAGATGATGTAGAGCCACAGCAGGGTTTAGGTCTCGAATTTCGAGAGCCGCTTTGTTGAATCGGCTCATGAACGTCCGAAGAGACTCCTTTCTATCTTGACGAATGCTAACTAATGCCAACGAGGTCAACTGATGAGGGCGGCTGGTGGCGAACTGGATTGTGAACTGGGAGGCCAGCGTGCCGAATGAGTCGATAGAATTGGCTGGGAGCCGAGTGAACCAACTCAGCGCTCGCCCCTTCAAGGATGTCGGAAAGATTCGGCATAGGGCGGCATCATCGGTGGTGCTCAAGGTAACCTGTGTCAAAAACACATCCACATGTTCATCTGGGTCGGTTGTACCATCGTATTTGTCAAGGGGCAGGGACTTCCAGTGGTCAAGAAGTGCCGATTGCATGATGTTCGGCGTAAATGGATGTCGGTGTGCCCCGGCCGGCATTGGTTGTGCCGGTCTTTCGATCGAAGCATGGATGTCTGGGGGCGCGACAGAGGTATGAGGAATAGAGGTGTGATGACCGTGCGAGTGGAACGATCCCTGAGTGTGGGTCGTCTCAGATGGTTTCCATGTGGGGTCTCGGTATTGGTTTTTTAGAGCAGCATTCTCTTCTTTCAATGCGGCCATCTCGGCGGCATCTCTCTCTCGATGCTGTTTCATGGCGATCATTTCCTCTTTCATCTGGCGTACCATATCGGTCAAGTTTGTCTCCTCAACCGTCTCGGCCCCGGACTGGTGCTCCTCTTCGGACTGTTGCCCTTCAAAATTAGTATTCCTTGTCTTTACCATGATTCTTTTACTCGTAAACTTTCGATGCTTCTGCAATGCTTTCGGTTCGGCCCCACGGTGGGCGCCAAAATGTACCTGCTCAAGGATACACTCGTAGTCTTCTTGGTAAGAAGGGCCGAACGGATACTTCAAACGGATTCTTCAGAGGGGGGAGGTACCTGCAAAAGACACTCCGACGCTCAAGTCAGGACAAACACGATATTCTAGGATAATTAATGAACAGTGACGTACCTCATTGCGTGTGACCTATTTATAATACCTGACATGGGCCTGAACGTGGTGGGCCTATTCTAATCTTTACCAAATTAGGTAATATGATGCTAATCAGCTAATCATGTCTTAATTAGGCATTTGTCCTTGTTAACTATGATTTGTACTATAACCCGTTTAACTTATCGGCACATTGCCGAGCCGACAGGCTAATGCTTGGGAGGTTGCATGTCTTCGACTGTTGACCGGGCCGGTAAACATTTACTTGGTAATCTTATCGGATCGGCATTTGGCCGAGCCGATACGTAGGATGCGGGGATGCATCATGCTGTTTGCATCGGCCTTCAGCTGGGCCGATGCTAACGTCAGCCTTGGGTATGGTCCAGTTCGCATGGGTGTCTGACGGAACGGCACGTGTTGATCAACGTGACCGATAGGGTCCTCCCGGTACAGAAGATATATAGGAAGACTTTTAACAAGGTTCCACAAATTTTATAAGGCCCATTCCCGTTTAATGTTTTGTGTTTATTTTATCCTATTAATTAAGTGAAAAACTCATTTGAAAAAAACTTAATTCTCCACGGCTTTGCTTTATTTAAATTAGGACTGACAATTTAATTTATTCATCCTATCTATTTACAAATAAATTTATCTAATCTATTAATTACATTAAAAACAAATAATGAAAAGTACATACTGTTTTATTTGATAAATAAATTATTTTTATTTAATTTATTATAATTCGTCTAAAAAATTGTTCCATCTATCCATTTGAAACTCTTAATTTTAAGTACTATTTTATTTGATTAATTATGCAGTCCTCACAGTCATCATGAAAAGTTGTCACATAAAGTTGTCTGTTACTGCATTTTGAAGGTCAAGGTTTGAAAGAAAAAAACAAGGTACTAGCATTTGTTCTTATATACTTCAGTTGCTAGTTGAAAAGGAAGCTTTCTTGTCTTTTAGCTTCACATATATAAAAAATGATAGATAAAGCTGGGTGAATGTTAAGGCAATCGGAAATTATTCTAAATACTCGAATATTCCTATTTTTGTAGGTAGATCGAATCAAAGGGGTATTTGAATTTGTTAAGGATATATAGAGTTTGAAACAAGTTAGGATGGATTGAGAAATTTGTCTTTAAGAGTTGATAGATAAGTTGAAGCTATCATCCTCAATGTGTGATTAGATTGAAAAAAATGATAAACAACTTTTAATGAGAGAGGAAATTCACCGGCTTAACCGGGACAAAATGGGCCAAACTTAAATCTACACAAGGTAAGTGATTTAGAAGGAATAGACATTTCATTATCCTTCACTTCACTATGAAAGAAACTTTCAAATCAGTTTTTGAAATTAAGAAATTACTAAATATGTAAATTTTCGATCATTTTCAAAACTAAAAAAAAAAGTGATTAAAATAGTCAACATATATTTAAGGACTAAAATAATGATAAAAGTTAAACTTAAGAATTTATTTAATATTTTGCATATTTATTTAACAATTTCTTAGTCTTAGAAAAAAAAAAGATAATAGTATTTTTTAAAATTCAGAGATAAAATTGTGTGTTTTTTCCAATTTGGAAGACGATCCTCTACTGTTGGGATCATCCAGTTACATCTTTGACCATTTAAAATTTACAAACTTTTTAAAATTATAATTTAATATAAAAATATTTTGGGTGAGGCAAACTACAGAGAATGCAATTGAATGGCATTTAGAAGTTTCCGTGACTTGAGCCTAGGTCTCGTAGGTGTATAGGGATGGAAAATTCTATAAACCCTAGATTCCCAAATGATGGCGCCATGTTTTTATGCTATGTATTTTCCACATGATGCTTTCTTGATTCACCTATGTGTAATGTACATACATATATATTATATATAATTAAAATTTATAATAAATTATATATATATATATATTATGTTTAATATATATAAACTTATATAAATAAATATTTTTAAACATATAAATTATATTTTAAATTTATAAATAATTTATATT